TACCCCTCACCCCAGCAAACATACTGTAGTTCATTTGCTTATTTTTGTTATATGTCAGTGTTTCCTTTAGACTTTAAGCTACAGTGGGTAGAGCATGATTATCTTTGGTTCATCAGTTCAAATCCAGTTTCTTGCACTTTGCCCAATCTATAGCAGGTCCTGAATACACCATGAGTTGAATGTATGTATGTCAGTACACAGGCAGTTGGGGTATATTTAGAGATACGGAGTTTCATCTGTGTTTGGAGTATAGGTGATTGGGAAAATGAATTATAGAGAAGTTAAGTGATTGTCAAATATTTTTTTCCATGCATTTTTTCCTAACTAGTGGTAAATTTCTTCTGTATTTTGTCTATATCAGTGCTAAAGTCCTGATTGTGATATTGTGTTACAATTTTTTAAGATGTTACTGTTAGAGGAAATTGGGTAAAGGGTATACAGGATCCCTCTGTATGTGAATCTGCAGTTGTATATTTTTTTAATCTGCCCTCCTCATATTCTACCCAGGCTCTGTACAGTTGTCTTAAAATAAAAAGTTTTTAAAAATTATGGGCAGAAAATTTAAAATATTATTTGTAAAAAAAAACTCTGAGGAGTAATATTCTGGAATGTTATGATACATAATTGCATTTATGATACATAATTTTCTGCAGGAAAGGTTGGGAAATGCAGCTTACATTGCTGAATCCCAGTGTGTATGTCCTTTATAGAAAGGAGGGCTTTGCCATTGTGTTTATCCTGGAACATGTATACTAACTTTTTTGGTAAAACTGTCTTCCCTTATTATTTTTCTATACTTGTATAGGAAAAGCCCAGATGTTTTGAGAGATTTTTTGGATTGTGGTGGCAACTAAAGTTGGTTCTTAGTTGTTAGAACCCTTTCTCCCTGTTGTACTAACTTCCTCAAAGTCAGAGTGGGAGGCTTTCCTTATTTGTATTTTTAGTTGTGGTGTAAAGCCCAACCCCAGCAGGCATTCCTAATCTGTTGACTGAATAGCCTCTTGTAGGTGTAGGTTGATATATCTCTAGTGGAATTTTCATCCATGGACAATAGGATAGCTGACCTATCATCTTAGTTTTCTCAAGTATGTAGATTGTTATAATATTATATCTTTTAAAATATATGAATATGACCATTTTACCAGATTTTTATAACTATTCTGATAATGTTATTTTTATAAAGTTCTGAAGGAATACTTAGTGTTTTGTAATATATTTGTTTGATGTAAGAAATTAATTTAGAAAGTAGCATGTTTACTAACATGGAAAAATAGTAATTTACCTCTGTTTCTTTAAGTCTTAAGGAAATATCATTGATTTTTTGAGTTCCATTAAAAAAAWTTTTTTATAGTTGTAGATGGATAGAATTCCTTTATTTGTTTAGTTTTTTATGCTGTGCTAAGGATAGAACCCAGTGCCTCACACATTCTAGGCAAGCACTCTTCCACTGAGCTATAGTCCTAGCCCAAGTTCCATATTTTTAAAATGAGAGATCTCTTTTCCTTGATGATTATAATATTTATTAATGTTTCAGTTTGTCATTCTTCGTATTTTCATCACATTTTGAGTTTTAAGAATACATATCCTTGAGAACTTAAAAAAAACAATAGAATCAACACTAGATTTGTTTTTTTAGTTAATTTCAGTACATTTTTGTTTGAGTTAGATAAATTTTATTTCACAACTTATTTGGAATACTCAGGGGATATAATTAAATAACTTTGGGAACCATCCTTAATATAATTTTTGGAACAGAAGAAAATACACTGTCACTTTCGTTTACTTTTCTGGTGGAGTGTCCCCCCTGCCCCCAACAAGAAAGTACAGTTCCACTAAGATTCTTGGGTCATAGATCAGAGGCTTGGATCAACAAAAAGAAATGAACCTTTGGAAGAATTCTGATCCAATATCATGGGCCAGTTTAAACTACAATGTAAGCAATGGCAGGCGGCCTCATTCTCCCTATAAGGAAAGGCAACATTGCAGTTCATTAGAAAAGGAAAGTATTTTTTTCTTTTCTTTTCTTTTTTGGTGTGTGTGTAGATAGGGGAGATTCCTCATAAAATGTTAGTTTATCTGACATTACTAAGCAGCTCTCAGTCCTCTTAGAAACAATCAAAAGGGAATGGGGGAAGGAAAGTGAAGTTGTGCTTAAGTAGAGTTAATATTTTGATTTGGGAATTTGTCCAGGGATAGTCAACTCTTGGTTCTCATGGTAATGAAAATGAGCAGCTGCAAAGAGAATACAAAAACAGGAATAAAAAAAAAAAACTTATTTTATCTTGGAGAGCATTTTGTGATTATTTTTGTTGTGGATTGAACTTCCTAATTGTGTTTTTCTTTACTTGCAATCCTGGCACACACAGTGATGGATATAAGGGGCAGACAGTCATGGAACAACCTCTAAGTAGAAGGAAATGACCTAAAAGCTTTTTAAAAAATATTACAGATAAACAACAAACCAATCCCAGTAATTAATACTTGGCTACTGGCTATACATAAATAATTTTGATTTTCTTATTAAATTTCTTATTTCTTAACTGTTGTGGCCATTGTTTTAACTAAATGGGAATCTGTGATTTGTAGATATCAATTACTGATTTTTTTACTCAGATTTTCTTAATGAAAAGGAGGAARTACACTACTTAACAGAAACATTTGTATCTTCCTCAATTATCTTAAAATCCTTCCTGCTTTAAAAAAAATAAAAATCCTTGCTGAGCCTCAACTCTTCTTGTGTCTCACCGAAGACTTATAGCAAATATGTCATTGGAAATTCCCTTCATATTCTTCTAGGGATCTCTGAAATTTGGTGGGGTAGGGAACTACACTCTTCCCTCATAACAGCTTGAGTTAGTAGTAAACCATTCCAGTGAATGATAGAAAAAGTCTGAGATTTGTATGCTCAAAATTCTGTAAGAAAGGATACATTGATAGGCTTTTTATGAGATAATTTAGATTGCATGAATTTAAAAACACACAGTATTAGAAAAGAGCAAATTTTCACACTAAACTGTTTATAGTGGAAAAAAAAAGGGAATAAAAAGTATCTGCCTGTGTCAGTTCAGGAGGAATAAAAATTATCAGTTGCTTATTTTGCTATGCAGTTTTTTTGATTACTTTCCAGAAACATTTAATTCCTTTGACAAAGGTGTTTTTCAAAAAATAACATCTGCCCACTGTAGTAAGTAATAAATACAGACATGTAAAATGATTCAAGTAAAATAACAAATCCATTGCCCCTCTTCTAGATAGAATGAGTGTTATATGTGTTGGTGATTTTTATTTTCCTCCAGAATTATCAGAAGTCCTTCCTCTCCTTCCTTCCCATCTTTTCTCTCTTCTTCTTCCCCTCTTTCCCCTGTCCACTCCCATTGGCTGTATCCCTAGTTCCAAAGTATATTATGTCACATTTTCTGGAGTTGTGCTTGCTATGCAAGTGGTCTACCTCTTGAGCTACTTCCCCAGCCTGAGGATATGCATTTTAAATTTTAATGAAGACTACCAAATTATCCTCTACCAAATCCTGTTTCACTTTGATTTCTTTCTGTTTACAATTTGAACTTTTGCCAATGCTGGGCGGTATAAGTCTTTTGAAAATCTTCTGTTTGCATAAAATTTTCTGTCACATAAATTCTTGTTTATATTTTGATGGCTAACATACTAAATTTTAGATTCAGTTGGGGGCAGATGTGACTTTTTTTTCAGTACTGTCTTTGTCCACAAACATGTTATGCCTTTACATTAATTTAGATCTTTTATGGCCTTCAGTCAAGTTTTGGGGTTGCTTTCCCGAAGGTCTTACTTATTTTAGTTTTATTCCTGAATAGTTTATTGTATTTTACTATTATGATTGGAATTAAATATATTCTTTTCTTTCTTTTATAAGGGTCACTTTACCACTGAGCTACATCCCCAGCATCCCGCCTCTCGAATTTCTTTAAATTTTGAGACAGGCCCTCATTACATTGCTGAGCCTGGTTTGAACTTGCAATCCTCTTGCTTTAGTGTCTTGAGCTGATGAGATTACCAGTGTGTGCCACCACACCTGGCTTGGAAAAATATATTTTCTAATTATTTATCACTATGTAAAAAAAGGCTTTGATTTTTATCTTATTGCCATAGAACTGTGTCAAAATATTCTATTAGTTATAATAGTGTGTTAGTATTGCAGTGTCAGTTGATTCTCTTTGATGTTCTAGAGCATCTTTACCCAATATAAATATAAGTCACATTTGTAAATTTCTAGTAGTCTTATTAAAAAATAAAAAGAAACACATGAAAGTAATTTTAATGATATACATTAACTCATTATATCCAAAATACATGTAAGCAGTGTTACAAAGATAATATAGTAAGATATTTTACATTCTTCTTTTTCTGTATTAAATTGTCAGAATTCATTGTATATTTTATACCCACAGCATATTGCAATTTGAACTATATTTCACATGTTCCATAAATATAAGTGGCCAGGGGGTACTCTATTGGACAGTGCACTCTAAATCGACAATCATAATGTGTGCAAATAGTGAATATTTTTTTTCCCTAACTTTTAAGAAGTCTTTTTTCCTTACCTTAATCTTGCTTGGAGTACCAGTAGTACAATGCTGATGCTGATGCTGATGGTATTAATGGGACTAGTTCATGTGTTTATAGATTTGAGCACTGTGAATTATTGGTATTAAGTTGTACRTGGAATTTTCTCATAATTATGCATATGCTTTCTTATGTAAAGAAGAATTTAGATAATTGTTAATTATCAATAATTAAGATAATTCTTAAATAATTATCTTTAATGGTTATCTATGTAGAGTTATGGAATTAGGAACTGATAGTCTTTAAAACATTTGAACAATAGAATTTTCAAATTATGAACTTGTTTTGCTCCTATAATAAAAAAGGTGTTATTTCAAATTTTAAACATTAAAAAGTGTAGAATATTGTGCAGAAATGCATAAATTATTGATGACAGCAATCCTATGTGTTTTCTCTTCAAGCTGGACTCTGGACTGTGTTCACACTAGGAGGTGTGGGCAGCAAAGCGGCTGCCTCTCCAGAGCTTTCTTCCCCTCTGGCCAACCAGAGTCTCCTGCTTCTGCTGGTGCTGGCTAACCTGACAGATGCTCCAGATGCACCCAATCCCTACAGACAGGCCATTATGTCCTTTAAGAACACACAAGGTTTGTAATGTTTTTTTCTCTGAATATTCTTTCTAATGAGATTGTTGTTCACACCATATTGTTTATGTCTTATAGATTTGGAGATGTATCAGTTTGTTATTTTCATATTGGTTAAAATTGAGAAAAACTTAGATTTTCCTGTCAATATTCTCAGGAAGGTCAAATAAATCTTAGAAGAGTGCTATGATCCTTTATATCCCTTTAAGTTTATATTTCTTTCAGAGATAACCAAACTAGCTTGTGTTTAATTTGGCCAGCTTGTCCTCCTATTAGGGATACAGAATAATAACCTATGAAACCCAAATGGTAGGTTATCTTAAATTTTCATTTAAAGTATATTCTAGTTAGAGTTTTATGGAACTAAAAATTAGATCAGAAATCAGCAAATATTAAGGAGCAGTAGCTTCACAAGGTCATGTGGTCTTTTCCTCTTAACTCTGCCATTGCAATTGAAAAGCAACCATAGATAACACAAGAAGGAAYGAACTTGGCCACGTACCAGAAAATCTTTATTTCCAAAACAGATGGTGGGCTGTACTTCATTAACCCCTAAAGTAGAACATGAACAGATAGATATATTTTAAAATAGTAATCTCCTAACAAAAGGTAACATTCTACAATTCTATAGTAGCTATATTATCAAGATGTATGCAATAGATATAGAAAATATGGTACATATACACAGTGGAGTTCTACTCAGCCATAAAGAAGAATAAAATTATGTCATTTGCTGGTAAATGGGTGGAACTGGAGAATATCATCCTAAGTAAAGTAAGCCAGAGGCAGAAAACCAGGGTGGAATGTTCTCCTTCCTATGCAGATACTAGAGAGGAAAAGGAGGTAGAAAAGGAGGGGATTGATCTCTTGAAAACAGAAGAGAGAGCAGTATAGTAGAAGCAGGGGACTAATGGGGAGGGAGGAGGAGAGGGAAACGGGAAGAACTGGAGAATAAAGTTGACCAAGTTATGCTATATGTATGCATAAATATATCACAGTGCATTCCAATTTTATATATAGCTATCATGTACCAATAAATAAGTAAATAGATGGAAGGAAGATAACAGAGTAGAGGAAGGGAATCAGAAGGGAGGAAGAGAAGGAGGGTGACAGCACTGGGGATTGAAATGGAGAAAACTGTCATATGCATTTATGAATATGTCAAAATGAACCCCAATAATAATGTATAAATGTAATGTCCTAAAACAGAGATTCACCCAACATTCATGTATTTAAGTTGTGCAAAATGTACATACATTGGGTAGGAACATTAAGGCTTCTGATGCTCTGTGCTATGTCTTTCCAGACTATTCTAACATACATTTTTAATAGTCAGTGGATTAGTGTATCAATTAGTTGTATCTTTGCCAATTCTGGTATTATTTGCAGAATATCTTAGCCCATCTGTGCTGCTGTAATTAAATACCTGAGACTGGGTAATTTATAAAGGACAGAAATTTATTCTCACAGTTTTGGGAAGATCAAAGGCTCCAAAGGTTTAGGTTTGGTGAGGAACTGAAAACTGCTTCTAAGATGGTACTATGGATACTGTGTTCTCACATGGCAGAAGAGATGGAAGGACTTAAAGAAGCCAACTGGCTGCATGGAATCTCTTTTATGAGAGCTTTAATCCCATTCACAAGGGAGGAGCATTTAAGACCTAACCACCTCCTATAGGGCTCCCCTCTTAACACAATTGCTTTGGAGTCTAAGCTTCAACACTAGAATTCACGCCAGTAACACAGCGCAATAGGGACTCAATAATAGTTTGATGAACAAATAATGAAACCTCATACATCTGGTAGTACTTTTCTGTTCCATTACTACACTCTTCTTCCTGGTGACAATGTGACTTAATGGTTAAGTAAACAAATTTTGGAGCCAAACAGACCTGGGTTCACACCTCACCTTGGTCACTTTAGAATGTGACCAAGTATCAAATGACCTTTGATATTTCACATAATTAGTACACCTCAATGATTTTGTCTATGAAATGAAGATGATGCCACCTAATAGCATTTATGTAAATACTAAGAAAAATAAAATTTTAAAATGATCAGTTCAGATTTTACCACATAGATAATAATCTATTATTTTAAATATGGAAAAGCCAGGGCACCATGTAGTAGAAATGAAGGCATTTATAGATGCCTTCCTCTCCTGTCCATGGTTTCTACTGCTGTTACTGTGGCTGCTCTGGCCAAATATTAGTAAGCATTTTGGTTTGAACTTTGCTTGAGATAGTCATTTTTTGGGAGACCATGTAGTACAGAGATTAAAAAAATTGGCTTTATGGKTTTTTTTTTTCTTTTTTATTTCAATACCATTGCCCTTAATTGTAAAGCAGGGGTTATTATCTCTACTTCACATGATTTTTGTAAGAATTAACTGGGGTTTTACCATAGCACAGACTTACCACATTATTCCTGTTGTTATAGGAACCGATGTAATTATGAGGTTCATCTGGTTTTTACTCAAGGCTGACCCGAGAAAAGCTACTTATTCTCTCCAAGTCTCCATTTCATCCTTTGTCCAGCTGGTCAGATAAAGACATGGCTGTTGTTCACGTTGAGTAGGGGCTAGCAGGGGCTAGCAGGCAGAAAGCCGGCTGTGTGTTGGGTGGTAGCCCTTGCTGCTGACGCTGTGGAGGCACTCAGTACCGTCAGCTGTGCTACAGCTCAGTGAACACGCTGCTCTGCTTCCACTTTAAAGAGGTTCAGAGTGTCCAGAGTCTTTTCCAGTGAGTCTTCTGTAATATTTGCATACTTACAGTAGAAGACAAACTTCTTTTTGCCATCCTTTGCAAGAATTCAGTCACACAAATGCATTATTTTTATAAGTGTCAAAATGATAGTGTTAAGATTGAAAAAATAATCTATTATTTCAAATGTGGAAAAGCCAGGGCACCATGTAGTAGAAGTGAAGGCATTTATAGATGCCTTCCTCTCACAAACACAAAGTGTAGGAAGGCGAATCAGAGGTACAGGGCCACCAGGGTTTTTGGTGTTCAGACATAACTCTTTTCCACAAGAGCATGGCTTTCAGGAATGGTAAATGTTTTGCTTTATTGGTGGCAACTTTACTCTGTGTGTGTGTGTGTGTGTGTGTGTGTGTGTGTGTGTGTGTGTGTGTAATTGTAGTTGGACACAGTATCTTTACTTTTTTTTTTACATGGTGCTGAAGATCAAACCCAGCGCCTCGCATGTGCTAGGTGAGAGCTCTACCACAACCCTAGCCCCTGCTTTCATGTTTTTAAGAGATTTTTGGTGCTTATTTTCAGCACACATGAAAGTGTCAGCTCTTTGTAGTGTCACATTCCCTTGTTTTATCTCAGGAGATTATGACTTTCTGTTGAACCTATCTTTATCTCCTAAATCTAACCTTCCTTCAGTTTCTACACAAATCCTGTGAACTATAGAAAAAGGACCATGTCTGTTTTAGAATATGAAGAATTTTCCCAGAGTAGACTATGATTTATGCTTTTTATCATTCCAGTGACCATTCTTTAAAAAAGAAGAAGAAATTTCTTAGCAGTTATGGTCAATTAGCTTTGTTCTCTTTTAAACAAAATGTTATAGAAATTTTCTAGTAGTTGTCTTGGGCTTGGTATGTTCTGTACATTAGAGAAACTAATGTTGAATGTGTTTTGATTTGGGTATTATTTTAAAACTTGCTAAATTATATGTTGTTTTTCTATCCATATTTAAAAATGGGTTATAACATTAGTGAATACTTCAGCCATGATTTATTTGTTTGCAGTAAATGCACTTAGCTTCAAGGCAGGTTTTTTGTAAACCCTATCTTATAAGAAGATTTCCTTTTTATATAGAAGCTGTATTATTTGTTTTTTAGATATTTTTATTTAGTATTGATGCTTTTGTTTTGACGTCAAGGGATCTCAGTATCTTGGTTAAATGGTATTTATGGAAGGACCTTTTGCCTCATGGCACTGTTTAAATGCATGTTCTTAGCTGATTTAGTTCAGCTCTATTTTTGGTAACAAAGTAACAGAGTCAAACTATGTAACTTATTTTAGTAATGTTTAAAATATAATTTGAAATTTTGGCTCTGAAATGTAGGGATTTTACTTAAAGCTAAGAGAAATTGATTTGTATGCATTTTTTTCACAGTGCTTTTATTGTTTGTACAAAAAACATGGTCCAGAAAATACTCATGCACTGTTTTTTAAAAATCTGCTTGTTTTTTGTATTCTAGATAGCAGCCCTTTCCCCTCATCAATTCCACATGCCTTCCAGATTAACTTTAACAGTTTGTACACAGCCCTATGTGAACAGCAAACATCTGATCAAGCAACGCTCCTCTTGTACACACTGCTCCATCAGAATAGTAATGTCAGAACATACATGCTGGCTCGCACAGATATGGAAAATCTTGTAAGTATCATGCTAAACCTCCCAAATTTTGTGTATTTTATAATACTTTGAAGAATAATTTCTTTTCCCAAGAGGGTAAGTATATTTGCCTGGTTGCCACACAGATTGATGGTTAACAAGTTGATAGGGAAAATGTCACTAGGCACAGGCAAAGACCTGCATTGCTTCGGTGTGTGAGACTCCTCTCATAGCAGTGGCCTCACAGAGCTGAGCACAGCAGCATCCTCAGCTGGTGCCAGGCTTCCCAGTTCTTGGGGCCTTTAGCAGACACTCATTGCTCAGGATTCAGCCTGATTAAAGTCTTCTAAGAAGCACCCTCTGCAATTCTCAAGATTTTTATTTCTTCTTGGTCCCTTCCAGCTGCTAGCTGCCTGCCCACCATATTAGTGTAATTGGTCACAGTTGCAGCATCTTCCTGAGGAGAATGGCTGAAAGGAAAGGTGATAGTGTCCTATCCTCATGAAGGCTTGGACTCTAGCTCTGTCTGAACACAGTTCCTGGCCTGTTATAGTTAGTTATTTTAAGGTACCTTACTGAACGTCTCCCAACTCAAGATACTTTACCATTGAGCCACATCCCTTGGTCCTTTTTAAAACATTTTTATTTTGAAACAGGATTTCATTAAGTTGTCCAGGCTGACCTCAAAATTGCAATCCTCCTGCTTCAGCCTCCATAGTTGCTGGGATTACAGACTTGCACCACTGAACTCAGCTAGACATCTCTTTAATGAGCAGTGTTTTTTCATTATGTGAGTGAAATTGGTTCCACAATATTTATCTCTAGATATAAACTCCTATAAGCAATCATTGATTTCCATTATAACTAATGTGTAAGACATTAGCCATCTTACTAAGGTATGTTTGATGTCTTATCATATACAGATAACTGTGGACTGTTATTGTGCTTGTCCAATTTTATTGTTGTTAACATTCTTTAATCTATAAACTCTGATATTCAGATGGCAATGTATTAATGCATTCATAAAAAATGTGAATATTCCTGAAATAGCCTGCAGCTGGCTGATAGCAACAGAATGTCCCCTCTTCCCCAGTTTTTACAGATTGATAAGAAATTTGGTGGCCATTTGTTTCAGTGTTAAAGTGCTATGTAAATACTGAAGAAACATGAGCTTTTGGAATTCACTGAGCATATTCTGCATCACAGTGACACTATGAACAGAAAGTGTGATGAAAGAACCTGTCTCCTCACAAGTGACGTGTGGAAAACATATTTTGTTTAAATAGCAAAATTGGGTGTAAAATTGTACTTCTCTGGAGTATGAACTTGTAAAGAGAAGGTTTGTTTCTCATGGATATGAATTAGCACAGAGACAAGTCTAAGCGGGTTGCATTCTAACAGAAATGTATTAAGCAGAAAGCCCAGAAAGCCCAGGACATCACCGTTTCAGTGTTCTATGGTGAGGATACGGGTATGCAAGATGAGGCAGGGAGTTCTATGGTGAGGATACGGGTATGCAAGATGAGGCAGCAGTTTGTCCTTGACGACACACGGTGAATGGTGGCAGGGTTTTGTTCTGAGGTTTTTAGGGGGTTGGAGTAGCATTTGTTTTAGTTTTGTTTTTAATTTTCTTTCATAGATTACTTTGATAATTTTTAAATTTGTGTCCCCATGTGTCCTTTTGCCTTTCTTAGAAAACATGTTATCAGTTGGAAATTATTGAACTGAGGATTTTGTTATTGTTAACATTATTTAATTCTCTAGACTCTGATATTAAGAAGACAATGTTAGGAGGCTGGGGTTGTGGCTCAGCGGTAGAATGCCCGCCTAGCATGTGTGAGGCGCTGGGTTCCATCCTCAGCACCATATAAAAAGTAAATAAATAAAATAAAGGTATTATGTCCATTTAAAAAAAGAAGAAGAAGAAGACAATGTTAGGCATATCACAGTGTCTCTCAGAATACCTTGTAGTGTACAGGTGCTTGTGAGGCTGGAGGAACTCCTTCTCTCTACAATGTCAAGTGTAGACTGACTTGAGCTCTTTGTACTGGTGCTTTGACTTAATAGCTCTTTGACTTCTTTTAACTCAAGTACTCCTTAATCTGGTCTAACTTCTTGTGATGCATTTTTAAATTAGTATTTATTAGAATAACAATGCAATGACTTCTAAATTTCTTTTTGTATCTATGAATAGTGTTTCAGGCAGAATCCAAGTACCCAAATGTTAAGAATAGAATTAAAGAAGGGAAACTTTTTAGGAAAAAACCTATACTGATGTGATTTTTTTAAAGATTTTATCATCACAAGCAAAGTAGTTTATCCACGAAAGTAGCTAGACATCTTAAATGTCACAATTCTATTAGTTGTAAGTAACAAACTTCTTTATGTCTGCCTTGAGTGAAAAGAAATGTTTTGGCACAGATGAAAAACTCATGAAGCTTTTTAGCTTCAGTCATGGCTGGATCTAGGGGCTAAACATTTCCATCCCTTGCCTCTGCTTTCCAAAGTAAATGCTTAAACAAGAAAGCCTTGGCCTTGTTGTCAGGCATACACTTTGAAATGGAGAGAGAGGGGACCATGTGTAGCTCAGAGCACGTGTCTATATTATCATTTGTAAGCCAGAAGGAAGAAAATTTACATCTACTATTCATAAAAATTTCATGAAGTGCTCCAGAATTCCTTTTTTGGGCCATGTGCTCACTTCCTTGACCAATCACTATGGAATGGAGCCCCCTTAATAATTAGCCTTCTTAACCTTTAACAAAAGGATTTTGTTTGTTCTTTCTTTCTCTTTCCACATTTTTTTATTGGTGTATTATAGTAGTGCATATTGGTGGGATTTGTTGTTACATATGCATATAACAATAAATTTCCCAGTATTGTTCCCCCTTTCTCCCCTCTTTCCATCCTCTGGTCTTCTTCCTCTGCTGATCTCCCTTTAGTTTTCATGAGACACCCCCCCCCGACCCCCCCACCTTTTTTTTTCTTTTACCTAACTTCCTCATATGAGAGAAAATATAGGACCCTTGACTTTGGCTTATTTCACATAATATAACATAATGGTCTTAAGTTCTATCCATTTTCCTGCAAATGACATAATTTTATTTTTCTTTATAGCTGAATAAATAATACTCCACCGTGTATATCTAAAACAGTTTCTTCATCCATTCATCTGTTGATGGATACCTAGGCTGGTTCCATAGTTTGGCTGTTATGTATCATGCTGCTATAAACATGGATATGCATATATTWCTATAGTTTGATGACATTAATTATTTGGGGTAAATACCAAAGAGTGGTATAGCTGGATTATATGGTGGTTCCATGCCTAGTCTTTTGAGAAACCTGCATACTGAGTTCCATTGTGGTTGTACTAATTTACATTTCCACCAACAGTATAGAAGTGTTTCTTTTTTTTCCCCACATCCTCTCCAGCATTTATTATTGTTTGTATTCTTGACGACTGCCATTCTGACTGATGTGAAATGAAATCTCATTGTAGTTTTGATTTGCATTTCCCTGATTGCTAATGATATTGAACACTTTTTCATGTATTTATTGTTCATTTGTATTTCTTCTTTTGAGAAGTGCCTGCTTAGTTTATTTACCCATTTAGTAATTGGGTTATTTGTTTTCTTGTATTTATATATTCTGTATATTAATCCCATGTCAGAAGAACAGCTAGCAAAGGTATTTCCCCATTCTATTCTGTAGATTCTTTCTTCACATTCCTAATTTTTTCTTTTACTGTTCAGAAGCTTTTATTTATTTTTCTTTCATGTCCATCTGTGTGGATTTTTTAAATTTATTTTTATTTTTATTGTTGGTTTTTCAAAACATTACATAGTTCTTGATATATCATATTTCACACTTTGATTCAAGTGGGTTATGAACTCCCATTTTTACCCCGTATACARATTGCAGAATCACATCAGTTACACTTCCATTGATTTACATATTGCCATACTAGTGTCTGWTGTATTCTGCTGCCTTTCCTATCCTCTACTATCCCCCCTCCCCTCCCCTCCCCTCTTCTCTCTCTACCCCCTCTACTGTAATTGTTCAGAAGCTTTTAAATTTAATGTTGTCCTGTTTATTAACTCTTGGCATGATTTCTTTAGCTTTAGGGGTCATATTGAGAAAGTCATTGTCTGTGCCTATACATTGGAGTGTTGATCCTATATTTTATTCTAGGGGTTGATTGTTTCTGTTCTAATTCCTAAGTGTTTGATCCATTTTGGGTTGGTTTTTGTGCATGTTGAGAGATAAGGGTCTAATATCATTCTTCTACATATGGATAATCAGTTTTCTTAACACCATTTGTCAAGGATCAAATGACTGTAGATGTGTGTGTTTGTCTCTGTGTCTTATATTCTGTACCATCTATATGTCTGTTTTTGTGCCAGTACCATGCAATTTTTGTTACTATAACTCTGTAGTATAATTGAAAGTCAGGTATTGTGATGACTCTGGTATTGCTTTTTTTGGTTTAAAATTGCTTTGTATTCTGGGTCTTTTATTCTGCCAAATGAATTTTAGGATTTTTTTTCTAGTTATGTGAAGAATGTCATTGGTATTTTAATGGGTATTGCATTGAATCTGTATATTGCTTTTGGTAGTAAGAACACTTTAACAATATTAATTCTGCCTCTCCCTGAACATGGGAGGTCTTTCCATTCTCTTGAGTTTTTCTTTCATATCTTTCTTCAATGTATAAGAGGATTTCTTAAAAGGGATTCTGGACAAATAAGATATACTCACTGGAACATTGCATTATTTGTAACTTCTTTAATTAGGTGATTATGAGTTAGTTACCATTTAAATTTCTGTTTAGTTCATCAGTCAGGTAGAGATTTTGTGGACATTTCCCTTAAGCCTCCACCAGTCTTATGTTCTTGGATCAGGCCTTGAACCTGCATATATACTGTACATATGGAAGTCATGTCATATTTATAGCTTACAAGCTTAAAACTTTACTGAAGAGACACATAGAAAATGAGATTGGTATTTACTGGTGACATGAAGTCTATGTGTCATGAATT